AGGTAGATCTCACACAAACATTACAAAATTCAAAACTACAAATACAAGTACACTTGTTAGTAACCTGCTAGTATACTTTTACCAGTGTACTTGGCAAACAAAGTACACTTAGGGAAATACACYTTTATATACTTTAGTGTACTTAACGACATGTACTTAAAGTATACTTCTTTTTGCTAAGKGTTGGTTCYGTACCCTGTTCCCTGACTAAAAACAGAAATGGATCTGGGTTAAATGTTCAAGAACATCTAATCTGGTTTGATAAAATTAACAAAACAAGTTTTAACATTTTGTTTTGATAAGTTTCAATTCTGCAGTCCCTGCTGGTAGGAAGTACGTAAAAAAGTCAAAGAGTTGAGGATGTTTGTCAGAGGTCAAAGGTCACAGTGAACAACAGGAGAGCCAGCCTCTGACAGGTTCATGTTCAGTTCAGAAARCTGTCCTAAAGGAAGCCAAAGCTTCAGGCAGAACCAACTGATGTGGATCTATCTGGGTTCTACCAAGWACACCAGGAGTTCCCCTGCAGAACCACGTTGATTGTTCCAGGAGAAGCAGCTGCTSTGTGTTGGACCAGAACCAACAGAGCTGCTGGATTCCTCTGAGTAACAAATCATTTTTAGAGGAAAACGTTTCAGAACACATCTGAGTTAAAAGTCCACTGAGAASGTCCTCAGATTGGATCTGTCCTCCTCCTGCAGAACAAACATCAAACTGCATGAAGTATTTCCTGCTTCAGGAGGAACTATTTATAGACTGACCATATAYGGTCATCAGAGACGCTCCTGGCCCGTCCAACATTCCTGTTCTGTCCTCGCTGCTTTACTCAGCACTGCAAAACCTTCTGAACCCAGGAGAACCAAAAAGAACATTTACTTTAAACGTTCTACTCCTCAGAAGAACCTGGAGTGAAAAGAAATCACAAGAAGAGACAAAAGGTTCACTGAAAGCTTTAAACGAACAGGAACTGGAGAAGGTTCTGTCCCAGGAACATCAGAACCTTGTCTGACCCAGGATTGTCTCTCTGTTTCTCCATCAGGTGAAGCCAGGATAAAAAAGCCGACTCCAAAGACTCCGCCCAAACAAGGTGAACACCTGAACCTTCTTTACACCGAACACTGACCCTACAACTGTTCCACCAACGATGTTCATATCAGGAACCTGAGAACACAGCTGCTGGTTTGACTCTTTAGAACCTGACTCAGGAACTGATGATGGTCCACCTGTACGGATCAATACCTGTAGAATATTATTTAATAATTGATTACAGATGTTTGTGTGCAGCTCTGCCTCCTCAGATCCTGCAGTTCCCTGAGGACATGAAGATCCTGGCAGGAGAGAAGGTGGAGATCGTCTGCAGGTTCTCTGGAGCTCCGCCCATCAGCTGCACCTGGTTGAAGTTCAGGAAGCCAGTGAGACACACACACACACACACACACACACACACACACTGGGTCACTGATCAGTGATCAGGTCCAGCAGCAGGTCTGAAGGAACGTGTCTGTGGTTCAGATCCAGGAGGGCTCAGCTGATATCTCCATCGTCAGCAGCGACAGCAGCAGTAAACTGACCATCAGCAGCGGGCAGCAGGAACACTGCGGCTGCTACACCATCGAGCTGAGGAACATCTACGGCCTCCGACAGGCCGCCCTCAACCTCACCATCGTGGGTAAGAACCATCTGCAGCAGCTCAGACACACACACAGACTTTTATTCAATTTTGTGTTACTGTCCAGCCAGTAGGGGGCGTTTGTTTACATGCTGCTTCAGATGCTGTTTGTTGGGTGTTCATATCCCCCCCAGATAAACCCGACCCCCCAGCCAAGGTTCCTGCAGCCTCAGACATCCGGCGGGCCAGTCTGACGCTGTCGTGGTATGGGCCTACCTACGACGGAGGCAGCGCCGTGCAGTCCTACCTCCTGGAGATCTGGGAGTCTGTAGAGCAACAGTGGAAACACCTGGTGTCCTGCAACAGCACCTCCTACAACGTCCAGGTGTGTTTATGTCCCCCACCTCAGCCCCGAACAGCACCTTCAGAGCTTTAACACCAGGTCTTTGTTCCTAGAACCTTCTTCCAGAACGTCAGTACAAGTTTCGTGTTCGGGCACAAAACATCTATGGTATAGGAGAGCCGAGTGCTGAGTCCGAGCCTGTAACTATCGGACTGGTGGATAACGGTAAGAAACCCTCAACAAAACATGAGACTCTTTGTAGACTGGGTTCTGGAAGAGACTAGGTTCTAATGGAGGAGGTCCACTGTCCCTTTGTCATCAACGGAGACATGGAAACATCTACCAAGATTCTTTCCATTTGAATTTCAGGGTTCAGGAGAAACCASGTCAGATCTGTAGGTCTGGAGAGTCCTGAGGAGCGTTTAGAGTTCTAACACTGAACAGTCATTAAAAACACGTCTAAAGAAGAACCAATGAGTCTAACAGYAGAGTTCTGAATCATCAGGACATGATGGACAGAACCCTCACTGGTACCAACAGAAAGTACTGGGATTTACAGGAGTCTAACAAAGATTTAGAAYAAAAACCAAAACCTTTTGGATTTAGACTTCAAATCTGAAGTCAGGATTTAAACAAGTCCTTTATTTATCAAATTTTACTTGATTCTTTATCAAGTGTTTGTGTTCAGACCATTACGTGGTCCAATCTGCAACTAAACCAGAACCATGTGACCCAAACTGGTCTTTAACCAGAACCATGTGACCCAAACTGGACTCTAACCAGAATCGTGTGACCCAAACTGGACTCTAACCAGAACCGTGTGACCCAAACTGGACTCTAACCAGAACCATGTGACCCAAGCTGGACTCTAACCAGAACCATGTGACCCAAACTGGACTCTAACCAGAACCATGTGACCCAAGCTGGACTCTAACCAGAACCATGTGACCCAAACTGGACTCTAACCAGAATCGTGTGACCCAAACTGGTCTTTAACCAGAACCATATGACGCAAACTGGTCTTTAACCAGAACCGGGTGACCTAAACTGGTCTTTAACCAGAACCGTGTGGCCTAAACTGGACTCTAACCAGAACCGTGTGACCCAAACTGGACTCTAACCAGAACCATGTGACCCAAACTGGACTCTAACCAGAACTATGTAAACCAAACTGGACTCTAACCAGAACCATGTGACCCAAACTGGACTCTAACCAGAACTATGTAAACCAAACTGGACTCTAACCATCAGAGCAGATATATGAGGCAGAACTAAAACGACTAACTGGACTAACATGGCTGCTGTTTGGTTCCTCTAACAGAAAACCAGGATGATGGTGAGGCAGAGGAGGAGGATGAAGGTATAAATATCCCACTCAACATTCACCATGTTTACAAACAAACAAACAAACAAACAAACAAACAAACAAACAAACAAACACATGACAAAACCAAGCAGGTTAACCCAGGACATCATGTGTCCTCTGTCAGACTCAGACAAGGAGCCGGAGTACCGAGACGTGACCGTCAGAAGTGATGTGAAGGTGAAGGAGCTGTACGATGTGGAGGACCGGCTCGGAACGTAAGGCTCCGCCCACTCTCATCTCAAAACCAGAGGTCAGTGAACGCAGCATTGTTAATGTTGTTTATGCTGCAGGGGGAAGTTCGGTCAGGTCTTCAAGCTGGTGGAGAAGGCCACCAAGAAGGTTTGGGCAGGAAAGTTCATCAAGGCGTACTCAGCCAAGGAGAAGGAGAACGTCCGGCAGGAGATCAGCATCATGAACAGCCTCCATCATCCCAAACTGGTCCAGTGTGTGGACGCCTTCGAGGGCAAGTCAGACATCGTCATGGTCCTGGAGATGTAGGTGGTCCTGGTGGAGACCTGATCATTAGATAATCCCAGAATTCTTTTAGAGCACAGGCAACGTTGAAGAGATCAAAATAAAAATCCTCATGTYAGCAAAGAGTTCATGTTTTTACAGTCTGCTGGCTTTAAGCTCATGCTTTGATGTTTGTTTCTTCAGCTTTTTCYAAAGCTGCAAGAGAGAATCATGTGAACATCCTGACTGAAATAAAAGACAACAGGCAAAGAGTAATCAGGGCAACACACCATTAATAAGAAAACCCACTCAAACTCAGTTTTTCTTCTGGGTTCAGATTAGTTTGGTGTCAGAAACTTCAGACGTTTCCTGTAAACCTTCTCCAACTTGAGAAGTTCTGTCAGTTCGCTGTATGAAGGTGAATTCATGAGAACAGCAGATGTTGTCTTCTTCGGGTCAGTTTGTGTWCTGATGTGTGCAGGATCTCAGGTGGGGAGCTGTTTGAGAGGATTATCGATGAGGACTTTGAGCTCAATGAGCGGGAGGTGATTAAATACATGCTGCAGATCATCGACGGGGTCAACTTCATCCACAAACAGGGCATCGTTCACCTGGACCTGAAACCTGAGAACATCATGTGTGTCAACAAAACCGGATCCAAAATTAAACTCATCGACTTCGGCCTCGCCAGAAGACTAGGTACCTAACCTTTACCTGAAACTGGTRACCAACTCTGATCACTGTAACTTATTTTTACTACTTATCACTAACAGAACTAACCAGTGACTATCAACTGTAATTACCCAAAGRCTATTTACTGACASAACTAACCAGTGACTAAAAACCAACAYAACTAACCAGTGACTAAAAACTAACACAACTAACCAGTGRCTAAAAACAGACAAGATCATTCAAAGATTTAAAAACAAATCAAAGTATTATAAAACGGGTCATAAAAGGCTCACAGGCAGACAGTGGAGTGCAGATAAAATGGGAGTGATGAGCTGGTATGATGGTGTACCAGTTAAAAGCCTCTCTGCACCATGCTGGACCCTCTGCAGTCGGGCACTAGAGGACCCACTAACCCCCAGATAAGGTTCATRAGAGAACTCACATCAACTCACATAGTTTAACTGACTGGTCAGTGAAGTGAATGAAGCTTTCACAATAAATCAGTAATTACCTACAGTATCTAGTTAGTGGAACTAATCGTCTCTTTGACCTGGCTGACTTGGTGAGAGACGTGTAGAAGCGGAGTCAGCTCCTCCTGCTGGGTTTGATGCATACTTCTGTTGACAGAAAACGCAGGAACTCTGAAGGTTTTGTTCGGGACTCCAGAGTTCGTTGCTCCAGAAGTGATCAACTACGAAGCCATCAGTTATCCCACCGACATGTGGAGTATAGGAGTCATCTGCTACATACTGTGAGTTTAGAACATGTTGGTGTCTAACTGGTTGGAGTTGAGCTGAGTTTGGTCCCCCCTCCTCCTCAGGCTGAGCGGTCTCTCCCCCTTTATGGGCGACAACGACAACGAGACTCTGGCCAACGTCACCTCTGCCACCTGGGACTTTGAGGACGAAGCTTTTGATGAAATCTCTGAGAACGCCAAAGACTTTATCACCAGTCTGCTGAAGAAGGACATGAAGTAAGCAGGAAGTGACCCTGATCCTTGGACCAGGTTCTCAGTCCAGGACCTCCATGGTGTGATGGGTTTTATTTGTTTACATGATTGTTTGAAGCATAAAGTCTGAAGCTGTGGTCACCTGTTGGCTCCTCAGGGCTCGGCTCACCTGCGCTCAGTGTTACGAACATCCCTGGCTCAAACAGGACACCAACACCATGAAGACCACCAAACTCTCCAAGGAGAGGATGAAGAAGTACATCCTGAGGAGGAAGTGGCAGGTAACCAACATAAAAATGGGATAACAAGCACTCCAAAATATACCATATTTTTAATAAGGGCAGAAAATAGGATGTGTTGCTGTCGTCAACTGGTTACAGATCAAACAAACTACAAACCTACTGTATATAAGGAGGTAAAAAAAAACACCTAAATCAATCACAAACAGGTTGGGTAATCAGCCCAAAAAAAAGAAAAGAAAAAGAAACGTCTGTGACTAACAAGCACAGCTAGTAGACTTCCGCCAGCTTCGGTTGTTATCATCCATTAAATGGACGTTATTAGTCGTTATCAGTCCCATAGAATGGCTTCAGACTGTCGGCTGGTTAATATGAGGCATGAAATCACTAAGGTTAATTTTAGAGAAAATGACATGGGCTATGATAAAGTAGACCGGACTCCGGCCGTAGCAGATTGTTGCATTACAACATATGTGGCACTGGTTACCCACTAGGGAGCACTGTCAGGACAGTCTGAAGCCATTCTATGGGACTGATAACTGCTAATAACGTCCATTTAGTGGACTGATAACATCCGAACCAGCTGAGACTTCACTAATATGTAATATACAGGAACACATGAAATCACAGAAAAATTACAAAAGATTTTTTACAAAAAAGGACAAGAATCACAGAAAGCAGTTCAGCACCAATTCTTCATTAAAGTTTCATTAGGGTAACCAACGTAAAACATGACTCAGCAGAACAGACTCAGAGTTTGTGTTGGTTTTATCTGAAATAACTTTGAGTTTTAACTCCTTGGCGGCAGAAAACGGGTCATGCTGTTCGAGCCATCGGCAGACTCTCTTCCATGGCCATGATGGCTGGAGTCAGYGCCAAGAAGGGCTCCCCCACTGAAGGTACGGTTCTGAGCCAGGTTCTGTCCGTCCCTCGGTCCAGCAGCAGGGATTAAGTCATGCTCTGTCTTCAGAGGACAACCAGTTCCTGGAGTGTTTGGAGTTCGAGCAGAAGACCGAGTGCAAGCCCAGTTTTAGCTCCGTCATCAAAGACGTGGAGGTGGTGGAGGGCAGCGCCGCCCGCTTCGACTGCAAGATCGAAGGTACGGATACACACCAGCTGCTTTCTGCAGACACACAACCAGGTTTAGATCTTCAGCTCTTCTCTGTGAACAAGGAAAAGTCCCAGAACACCTGCTGTTGATCAATAATTGTTTTACATTTTAAATAGTTTGTTTCTGATTGAAGTTTTGTGTTTTCAGCTATCAGACAGAAAATCACAAAATAATTTATTATCATGTTTTTTTTTAGGCAGAACAAAATCTAAAAGTAACGAACACATGTAAACGTGTTTCAAGCTTGAGTGAAGTAAAAAGTCTGAAGTGGGTCTGTGGTTCTGCTGCAGGGTACCCGGACCCGGAGGTGGTTTGGTACAAAGACGAGCAGCCCATCAAGGAGACCAGACACTTTCAGATCGACTACGATGAAGACGGGAACTGCAGCCTGATCATTTCTGAGGTCAGAGGTCAACTCAGCTTTCATCTGGGAGAAATATTTATATTTAAACTAAGGAAGGCCTTCTGATGTTGGCTCTTTGAAAGTTTGAATTTAACATTTTTTATACTCAACTGGGGTCCCAGGACACCCAGGGGTCTGTGAGAGGTATCATGGGGGTACTCAAAAATTATCACTAAATTGTTAATTTGGTTTTTATTTAGAAAAATGCATTGAGAACAAACATAAAGTAAAGACAAATATATACTCTCATGGTATTTAGGGGTTAAAATGACAGTAAATAATCTTTTAAAACAGCATGGTGTTCCTGACGGGGTCCCTGGAAGTTTTGTAAGGGGTCCCCAGACCCAAAACGTTTGAGAACCCCTGTAATAAGTAACCAATTGACTTAGTAAGTCTAGATGGATATTAGGGCTGTGTATTGGCAAGAATTTGGCGATACGATACATATAACAGAGGGGTCACGATACGATATATCCCGATATATTTCGATACTGTAAACAAGG